TAAGTTTATTTTTAAGTGGGGAAAAAAAATTGCACATTGCAAACTTGTTCCAAGAGTCAATAACTAGGAACAAGTCCTCAATATTCTTTCAAACTTACCACTACTTTACAATCAACATTCCAAAAGAATTACAGTAAATACTCACACATCATTAACCTTAGAAGACACATGTAGGTTCACTAGTGGTTTTGGATAGTGAATAAAATGGCTATATTTGTGTGGTAGGCTTTGTGACCCCTGGTTTCTATCACCACCACCGTGAATAAACTTGAGTCAGTAAGTTTCTCTAGAACAGAGCATTTCACATTAGAGCAATCTGAATGACTTTGTTTATATGTCACAAGGATTAAAATATACTGAAGTTTTTAAAATACAACCCCATTTCCAAAAAAGTTGGGACGCTGTGTAAAATGTAAATAAAAACAAAATGCAATGATGTGCAAATCATTTAAACACTACATTTATTTGAAAATAGTACAAAGACAACATATCAAATGTTTAAAATGAGAAATGTTATTGTTTTTGAAAAATACATGCCCATTTTGAATTTTATGCCAACATCATGTTCCAAAAAAGTTGCAACAGAGGCAACAAAAACTGGTAAAGTTGTGTAATCCAAAAAAAAACACCTGATGGTTGATTAGCAACAGGTCAGTAACATGATTGGGTATAAAAGAGCATCTCAGAGAGGCTGAGTCTTTCAGAAGTAAGAGATGAGGAGGGGTTCACCACTCTGTAGTATTTGCCGGTCATGATCTTTGGGCCTTCAGATGGCACTGCATTAAAGACAGACATGATTCTGTAGTGGAAATCACTGCATTGGCTCAGGAACACTTCCAAAAACCACTGTCTATGAAATACTTAGTCACTGCATCCACAAATGCAAGTTAAAACTCTAAAACATAAAGAGGAAACTGTACATAAACAGGATCCAGGAATGGTGTCACCTTATCTGGGCCCAATCTCATTTAAAATGGACAGAGGTGAAGTGGAAAAGTGTCCTGTGGTCTGACGAATCAACATTTTAAATTCTTTTTGGAAATCATGGACACTGTGTCCTCCGGGCTAAAAACCACTCAGCTTGCTATCAGTGCACAGTTCAAAAGCCAGTATTCATGATGGTATAGGGGTGCATTAGTGCACATGGCATGGCTGACGTGCAAATCTGTGAAGGCACCATTAATGCTAATAACCCAGACAACATCTTTTTCAGGGAAGGCCTTGATTATTTCAGAAAGACAATGTCAAACCACATTCTGCATGTATTACAACAGCATTGCTCCATATTAAAAGAGTCCAGGTGCTAAACTGACCTGCCTGCAGTCCACACCTGTCACTCACTGATAACATTTGGCGCATTATGAAATGAAAAATACAACAAAAGGAGACCCTGAACTGTTGAGCAGCTGAAATGCTATGTTAAGCAAGAATGGAAAACATTTCACTTTCAAAACTACAGCAGTTGGTTTCCTCAGTTCCCAAACACTTACAGAGTGTTGGTAACACAGTGGTAAACATGCCTGTCCCTACTTTTTTGGAAGGTGTTGTTGGCATCAAATTCAAAATGGGCGTATATTTTTCAAAAAACAGTAAAATTTCTCAGTTTCAACATTTGATATGTTGTCTTTCTTTTATTTTCCTTTAAAAATGGTTTACATGATTTGCACATCATTGCATCCTATTTTTACTTACATTCTGCACAGCATCCCAACTTTTTTGGAAACAGGGTTGTAGATGGACTTCCTCCTTAAGGCTGTAACCATATGCAGAAAAAAGTAACAGGATATAAAACTTATACCGCACCGAAAGCACTATGTTTCCAAAGCAGTGTCTTCATACATCTGTATGACATTCAGTTTGACTGAACCTCAGGGAAGTTAAAACAGTAATTTGAGTCTCACCAGTCACTCTGCAGGAGATTTCTGTTGAGATTATCTGTGAAACAAAATACACCCAAGGCAAATTCAGCAAACCAATGAGTAGCTAACACTTTTACCACAAAGCAACTTACTACTTAGCCTTAGGAAAATTCAACTCAGTGTGGATCTACATGGTTCCCTCCAGATTTACTGTGCACAAGGACCTGTGATAACCTGGTTTAAACTTTAAACTGGAACTTTAGCCTAGTCTTATTTTTAGAACAAATGGTCTTTGCCTTGTATATTTTCAGAATATTTTGTGTTGTATGCTCAAATATTCTCGTCTGTAGTAGACAGTCATGAAACGCCTCAACAAGGCAAGCGAACTGACCTAGCTAGCTAGCTAGCTTTCAAGCTAACGACTTTAGCGTTAGCGTTAGCTAGAAAGGTGCGCCAAGCTCAAGTCAAGCTAAGCTGGATATGTGTATAGACTTAACGTCAAACTAAGCAGCTAAGTTACTCGTTACTCCTCACCTTTTAAATGTAGTTTGGCCTGTGAATCTGGCCCCATTCCACTTGCAGTTTGCTCTTGTGACAAGTCTTCCTTTTTGTGGGCGAAAATCTCCGACGTCTTTCGGCACATGGCACCGTTATTATCTCAGAAATGAACGAAATCCACACATTTGCCGAGATTTTAGCATAAATGGATAAACTAGGAAGAAAAGCAACAGCATTAGATTAATGCGCAAACAGCTGGTAACGGTCGTGTTTGTATTTAAACGGTAACATGGAACGCTGGGAGAGAGAGCAGAACCCAGAGCCGAACTTCCAGGGGACGGAGTCAGACAGATCCAGCTCCTTGTATACCGATCTGAAACTTTGCCAGTCAATATTTTCTTCCCCGCTTAGTCGCTTGTGTGTGTGTGTGTGTGTGTGTGTGTGTGTGTGTTTTTTTTTTACCTCAGCACGCAGCTGTTAAGTAAACACAGTTTAAAGTTGTGCAGTTTTCTCTAGTTTGTGAATCTTAAATAAAACAAACATTTTTAAAGCCTGGACAACGAAAATGGCCAATGTCCTAACGTTAGTGTACTGGTTTACTCACACTGTAAGACTGCAGCTTCTTTGTTGCCATACGGCGAAAAAACATGTATTCCCCCCCAAACCCCCCCCCCAGTTTATTAAAATGTAAATTAAGAGATTAAATAGATTAAGATAGTATTATATATTATCTTAATCCCCTCTTTTTTTCTCTAAATTTATATTTATAGTTCTTTTTTATATTTATTTATTTATTTTAAAATTTCATTTTGTGTTGTTTAGCCCTGTCAACATGTGAATATCATGATCAATTTCAATATTTTGAATTCCTAAACATGTAGTCTTTAGCCATTTATACATTTATGAAGGTAAACATCCATAGATATTAAACACGTTTAAAACAAAACAAAAGTCCGTCATAGTATTAATGCTACGTATACTTTTCAGATGCATTTTGGTTGTGCCACCGCCTTTCCCACAGAAAGCCTCTCACTTCAACCATAAATCATCCTTATTAATTCAGTCATTCATTAATTCAGTGTCAGAATTTCTTTGTTAACTGACATTTACCATGTAGATCTGTTTAATGTTGAACGTAGGTTATTTTTCCATCATCGTTGATAAACAACAAAATGCCACCGTAATTCAGCATTCCTATATAGAGGAGGATCTCTGGTGGATACGCGCTCTCGGAGAACTTCTCCAACGCGAGGCGACGACTGCCTGTAAAAACGCAGATGGGGCTAAAATGATCCGAGCAGCGCTGAGTTCACTGAGAAAGAGTAGATAATTCAGTCTGTAATTTTCTCAGAAGATGGGGGAGAAAAACACAGACAGGGCCGATTCGGACGGAAATAAAATCACAGGAGCACCTGAAAGAAGAAAATCACCCCATGACCCCATGTAAATTTGATCCTGTCCGAATTGGGCTTATGTTGTGAAATTCTGATAAGTTGCCAAAAGGTAGTTTTAATACCATCTGACAACCTTACTGAATAATGAGGTTGTGACAACGTTGTAACAACCTTGTTCAGACAACGTAAAGGGCACCACCTTTTGACAATGTTGTAACAACGTTGTCAGAACCTTTGTAAATGTACTTTGACCTGTATTAAAATGAAAGCGGTACAAAGACAAGATATTACCAGAGTAAAGTACGAAAACCAGGGTCTGCCATGGTACTGGGGTATAATTGGGTAACGTGCACATTTGTGATAGCATCACTAATGCTGAACACATTTTGGAGCAACATATGCTGCCTTTTGTACACCGTCTTTTTCAGGGACGTCCATGCTTATTTCAAAATAACAGCAAGAAACATTCTGCTCATGTTACAACAGCAGGCCTGCTTGTCTCCTATTGAAAACATGTGGTACATTATGAAGTACAAAATATGACAGTCAAGGACCTGTACAGCAGCTAAAGACCTGTATAACTGAAGTGTTACATTCATTGTTGTTAAAAGGAAAGGTGATCTAACACAATGGTAAATATGCGCCTGTCTCAACTTTTTTGAAACATATTGCTGGCATCATATTTGGAAATGAGCATATATTTACAGAAAAAACAATAAAGCTCTTAAGGGAAAACATCAAATGTTTATTGAACTGTTTTCAGTTACAAATCAAACAGAATTTACTAATTGCTGCTTTCTGTTTTTATTAGCATTTCACATACTGTCCCAGCTGTTTTGGAATTGAGTTTGTCCATAAAATATTTTTGTGTTAAATTATGTTGACATTTTTATACCATTAAATCAGAGTATGAAAAAAGAGTAGAGTATAAAATGAGCTGGAGCTTGTTGCTTATCTGTGCTTTTCTGTGACACTATGAGCTATAGCTGCACTTTGCTGGTGTACTATGCTTCTTGTCTGGTGCACAGTAGTCCTTAGACAGCTGCAGTAGTCTTTCTGTTTCTTTCACTGGGATAAACAGATTATCACTTCTGACCAAAATGTAAGACGCAGGATCTACAATGACTTTTTGTCAAAATTAGCTGAATCAATTGCCAAACAAATTTGATTTGAGATATATTATGAAATTGTTTAATTTGATTTGAGACGTCTGCAGTGTATATATACAATTATTCGATTCTTCTTTCAGAGTATTTGATTGTGACTGGAGGTCATGCAGTATCTGCGTATGCACGTGAAGACATCACTCTGAATTGCTCTGTAGACTCCCATATCCCACCTGAACAGCTTGAAGTGGTCTCATGGAGGAAAGTGGATCAAGACATTACAGTGCTGGTCTTCCAAGAGGGTGTGATCCAGACAGATTTTACCCACGAGAGATTCAGAGACAGAGTCGAGTTCTTCGGCCCTGAAGAAATATTCAAAGGAAATTTCTCACTCAGAATAAAGACTCTCCGAATGGAGGACAAAGGCCAGTATAGATGTGAAGTGCTCTCTGGGGAGGTTTCAGCTCACACAACTGTGGAAATACATCTGGGTAAGTTAACATGTAATTCTTACACGATATGTTATGGACTTCTCTCTCTAAAGTCTGGATTTTATATATATATATATATATATATATATATATATATATATATATAAAACAGGAGTTACAACAGAATATTCGGGGCCTCTTTCGAGTGAATCTCCCCTGTTAGGATGCAGCAATCTGAACCACAAAAAATACACTACATGTCTTGACCTATGTGTAATTGATTGCATTACATGCGATGCTGGAATGATCTCCATTTTCTGCTTGACACATGAAGGGGTATGGGGGTATGCACCCGGAAGTTGCAAACGGAGGTTAAATGTCGCGACGGCTGTCCGGTGCCTACCTCATCGCTCCAGCGCAGGGGCATCCCACCTTACGCGAAGCTCCAAATACTGAGGAGCTCATTGCATGTTGTTTCATTCAGATTGATTCGTCTTATTGAGAGTTATTACAGAATATTCGGGGACTCTTTTCTAGCATTCTTATTTAACTTCATAAAATGTTGACATCTTTAGATATGTAATGTAAAAAGAATACCCAAAATAAATATTGCATAAACGTACAGTTTTTGAAGGAAAATGACATCTAACTACCATTTGAAATTTCAAACTGCAGTGTCCTCTCCTGGCTCCTCCCCTTCCGCTGTGTATGGCAGCCTGAAAATAGTGTTCCACACTTTATTATTTTTCAGTTAACAGTTCACTACATCCCACTTCATTTTCCAGTGTAAACACACTAAAATTAGCTAGCACAATATGTAAGTATTCAATTTTAGACACAGGATAATCTAAATTTGTTTTCAATGTTTAGGTCTGAAATGCAAAAATAACATTATACTGATGATGATATGATGGCAGTAGAAGATGATTCACTCACTTCTTCGGAAGACGCGTCCTTCACCAAGTTTTGACTGAGTTCTCTTTGAATACTCTTGCAACTCGCTTGGAACATCAGATTCATCCGATCAAGAAAGGGATCCAGAGCATAAACAACGTTTTCAAAATATTTTTCCATACGCAATTACATATTTCCACCAGAGAGGTCCCCAAATCCCCAAAACCTACATGGTGTAGCTTCTAAAGTAAGCAGTAATAGGTCAATACTAAATACACTAAATACAGTCCTGTTGACTGTGACTTACCAAAGTGAGAAGAATATTTTAAAATAGAATTTAGTGGCCAACATAGAGGCTTGCTAATATCAACAAAAATAGAATTGACATCTAGTTTGTTTACTGTGAATATTTAGATGAACACCATTTTCATATTTAATAATATGGTCACTGAAACTGCTCTGTTTTTTTCAATATCTTCGTTAAGTAACTTAGTAAATCTTGTATGCATGCAGCGTTACCAGCGTTATCCACTAGAAAGTACATTTTTTGTTGCGAGGTAATGCTGATTTGTCCTGTAGCACATCTAGATAAAACACATTTGAAGCTGGTAGCAGACATTCTTTATTTTCTATGTTTGTCCTTCAGCAAATATAAAAATTTTTAACACCTAATTCTGAACATTATATTTAAAGGCCTGTTACCTGTTATCTGTTCAGCTGTTTTTTGTGTGTTTGTTTTCACACCTTCTTATGTAGGGTATGCTTTAGGGTTGCACAGAGTAGTTCAAGGGGTTTTTAACTCTAGTCCTGGGAACCCACTGTCCAGCACAGTTTCAAGTATTCCTTGCTCTGGCACACATAAAGAAACTCATGAAGGGCATGATTATTGGCTGATCAGTTGGATCAGGTGTGCTAGAGCAGGGACGACCTAAACTGTTCAGTAAAACCAAGAAAAAAACATGGATCAATTGACTAATACACTAGTAGGTGTTGGGGGTGTCCGTTGACTAGTTGTGGACGGTGCCTGAGTAGAGTAACCTCTGTCTGTCTGCTCCAGTGGACTGATCTCACATGCGCCAACCTTTTATGTAGCAAAACCTGCTCTTTTGTATTTCCTTGTGAAACCACATATTTCTTTTTGCATTTGTAGCTGTTGCGCTACACATGTTTGTCCCATTGAATTTGTATGTGTGATTTAATGATAGCAGAAAAAACAAAGCTTCCTAAAGCTTTAAACCAATTGACCTAATTGCTTCAAGAACATAATTTACTACTAATTTACTTTTTTGAGATTCTAGAAACACACAGGCAACATCAGCTATTCATATATATTTTAATGCATCCCAAGCTAAAAATGTTGATTACATGTATTGTAATTTAAGGGTAGCCTACAAGATTTTCAAATAAACAATTTGTCTGTAATATAATGGCCTTTACAAGTAGCCCTTAATATGATCCCATTTTGATCATGATAATTACATCATTTTTGTATAAGAGTGACAGAAATATAGATGAGAAATCTAAGTTGTAAAAACTGAGTTGAGATTGGTAGTTGCTGTATATTTGACACAGGTTCACTCTGCCCACTGGTGCAGAGTGTAACAGTGTTGTCTACATCTGACCCTGAAATACCACAAAAGTTGCATATCCACTTCAAAATCTGCTATTAGCCCCCAGAATTCTTTGATGTCCAGAACACTCTTGTTGGTGTCTTTACTATGATAAATGAAAACTAGTCAGATACTTTTTTGAATGAGTTAACAACTAGTAAAAATTAAGTCATGCAACCCAAAAATGGTGGGACAAAATTTTGATAGAGGAAAAAAAACAACAAATATTGCTTTCCCTTGTTGATCATTCATAAAACTCACTGAAACTCAACTGATTAGCAAGCTGATTCAGGTGTGTGAATGCAGTGTCAAAAGACTTTCTGTACAGGTACATTTTGTCCCAGAATGTACAACATGTTCCTGAAAGTCCAACAGTGTACTTTGAACTTTTAAAGATACACTACGTTCACTTTCCAAGAGAACAGGTTAATACTGGCAGATTTCAACTTTATAAAAAAAAGAAAGTAAAAAGCCTGGAGTCAAGACAGAGTGTATAGAGTCCCAACTTAAAAATTGCAATAACTGCAACAGAACATTGTACAATTATGTTGCCAAGCTTAAGGTACTTAGAGTACCAGCCCAGTGACAGTTTCTAATGTTTTTCCTGGGAGTGTAGGAAAAACACAAATATACACCCAAGATGTACTTTACCAGACATGTTTTCATGATTTCTGTTTTTAATCACATGTACAATCTTGAAACATTTCAGCAAAATTCACCATTTTGAATGATAAACATGCCATTCACATGAATCCTGTAGATTTGATGAGTTTTTTTTATTTATTTTGGAAGCTGGGGGGTCTGCTACCAGCAGAGAATTATGAGAGAGAATCCCTTCTCTCGTTTTTAGATTTATATTTACAGCGTTTAGCAGATGTTCTTGTCCAGGTCGACTTACAACAGTTCTTTGTTGTCCACTCAGAGAATGTATCCTAGCTAGCACAAATAGGTTAGTGTCCAAACTACCTTTGAGCTCAGACACTGCCAGACACAAAAGCCAGTGCTGTTACCTAAAAGAAAGATACAGGATTAGGAAAATGAATAAATTATAGCATAAGTGCAGCACAGTGGGTCTCAATAGGTACTTAGATTAGTGTGTAGCAAATATTTAGCCTCTTGGTAGAGGCTTATTTAGTGGCTGGATATTAATAACAAGGCAATCAAGACATTAAATGATAGATTTGATTAATAGATATAGATAGAGAAACCAGAGACCTGATTTTCACTTGAGGAAATACTGCAATCAGCGGAAAATAGGAGGTAGCTATTTCATGGGGAATTGAGCAGCATCGAATGGATAAATGATGCTCCTGAAACACCTAGATTTATTAAAAGGAAAGGGGGATACAGATATCCCAGCATCACACTGAAAGAAGTGGATTGCCTTACTGCCTCTAGCTTGTGAGGAGAGCCGCTGGTGACATGTCCCGGGTCATCGGAGAAAGTTAACCCAAGAACAACCTCAGCACCAGGCCTGGGTGAACATGGCAAACCCCAGCTGGCTTTGGTCAGTCTTTCTGAAGGATGGCAGTTGGCTGGTCCAACTTCCATCGATGAAACTTTATAAAATGTGGATCACTAGACTATTCAAAGTGCTACTCAAGGCGACATGCTAAGGACTCAACCGGCTTTCAAGCCCACGCAGGGGGCAGCCCCTCCCATGACACAGCGGTACCCTTAGAGAGGCCTAGCTCACCGGCAGCTAACATCATTGCTGACTCGACCGACGCTCTGCTTTGGTTCCTGCCAGCGCTCAAAAACTTGAAAAGTTATTTGCTTTCAGAGAATACTGTGGCTCTCTCCAGCGCTCTACAGCCCATTGTTGACACTCTGGATTCAATTAAACAAACGCTTGAATCGTATTCGGGGAGCATCAAGGCCCTGGAAGCCTGCGCTTCAGGTCATTGCGATAGGATTGCTCAACTGGAAAATCAGTGCAGATCTCTCACTACAGAAAACTCCGCACTAGTTGACAAGCGAGATGACATCGAGAACCGTTCCCGTCGCTCAAATTTGAGAGCTATCGGAATCCCAGAGAAGACAGAGGGCGCAGATCCAACAAATTTCTTTTTTTTGTTAATAACTTTTTTTAGTTTTGATAGCAAATACACAAACAACACTCATGCATATCAACACCACAGAAGGATGGGGGAGGGGCATCCACATACATACATGTACAAACATACATACACGTACATCATACATTAATACACATTCTACAAAAGCAACTATGATTACAGTCTTAACATAATTAATGGCCTCAGTCCAAAAGCGAATCGTTGCTGCCTTGGCATTGTGGAATCTGGCAGTTGCCCATTCTAAAATAAGAATATCCAGAAAATATCTACACCATAACTGAGATAAAGAAAGGTTAGGTTCAAACCATCCTTTCAAGATTGATTTCTTGGCCGCAGTCAGGGCTGCCATCATGACTTTCTTTTGTTGTACAGTAAGCATTAAAGTAAAAGTAAGGCTGGAGACAAGGGAATATTCACGGACAAATAACCGGACAAGATTTGTATGACATACAGCCATAAAGCCTTCACAACTGAACATGACCAAAACACATGAACATAATCTCCAACTAAACCCAGCTGACACCTGTTACAGTTTTTGTCATTTAAAAGCTTCATCAAAAAAGCACGGCAGGGAGTGATGTAGATCCTGTGAGCTCATTTAAAGTGAATTAACTGATGACTACGCCACACCACGTCCCAATTTGCAGAAATTCTGAATGTACACAGGTCTCTATTCCAGAGCTCTACTGCACCTAAAGAAGAATTCTTAAATCGAATAAACAAATCATACAAATGTGAGACTAAGCCTCGGGAAGATTCATGATTACACAGATGATCCAGTAAGAAATGGTTCTTCAACTGAGTATTACATGGAACCCCGTATGCACGTAGTGCAAAGTGTAGTCTCAGGTCTAGAAAATAGGAAGTACCAGGAATAGAGAAAAGAGTAAAGCCCATGGGTGCCAAAAATATCATTCAAAATACGGATGTTGTTATTAGACCAAGTGGGAAAAACAAATGGCTTGGAACCTGTCAGAAGAAAATTATTAAACCATATGGGAGAGGATTTGTGCAGTTTCACATTGCACTTAAGAAACTTACAAACACAGTCCCATATCTCAAGTGAGCAAGTAATAATAGTGCCATATCTTAGAAGTGAGGTCCGATGTTTAACACCAGCAAAGGGTAAGTCTTGGAGCCTGATGGGAAAAATAAGTTGCTGTTCTATTGCTCGCCATGATACTTCAGAAGTGGAATCAAACCATGACCTTATGGCTCTTAACTGAAAAGCCCAAAAATAATATTTAAAATTAGGAATAGCTAGACCACCAGATGAATTTGGACGTTGAAGTGATTTTAGGCAGATTTTAGCTCTTTTGTTGTTCCATATGAAATTTTTGGATAACTTCTCAATATCTTTAAAGAAGTTGTGAGATCCAACAAACTTCATGACAGAACTGCTGTTGGAGGCATTCGGCTTGGAGTACTTCCAGCATCGGCCCATCCTGGAAAGGGCGCACCGACTCGGCCGATCAGTTGTGGCGGGTGGCACAGACTCTAACAAGTCGAGGCCCTTCATTATGCTCTTTCAGTCATTTCAGGACAAGGAATTCTTTAGGAGGAGCAGGGATGGTGTGGGTTTTCGGGGTCACAACATCAGATTTTTCCAGGACTATAGCGCGGACGTCTCTTGGCGACGGGCCACATTTCGTGCGATAAAAGCTGGGCTATACAAAGAAGGGGTCCAGGTCAGTATGCTCTACCCCACTCGACTGTGTGTTGTTTCCAAGGATGGTTTCAAGTTTTCTGAAATTCCGGATGCGGCCCAGGCCTTTGTGAAAGATCACTTCAATTGCTGAGCCACTCTTATGTCTTGTGAGGTAAAGTAGCTTTATGCTGCTTAATACCAGTGACTTAGTCTTGTTTCCATTTTTCATGATCTGTTAACCAGTAAGAGTTCACTTACATTTAGCTACGATAAAAGTTCTCTTAACGCACAAGCTGCAGTGTACATGTGAATAAGGTACGTTTCTCTAATTTTTCAATTATTGTTATTTTCATACGGATTGTGCACATATGGAACCTTTTATGTTATGTAAGAAGTTATTACTTCCACTATCTGTCTTTTTGCTTACATATTCTATGCATATAGTAACTAGGCTTGGCCTTTCTGATAACTTAGTACCTAAGGACAAATAGAAAATGCACAAACACAAAGGTTAACACACATAAATAGTAAGTTTCTGCGGTTAGTAAATATGTGTGGATGCTTGACCAAGACTGGATCTCAGGGGCTACTTTCACTTTCTTTTGTCACTGGGTACACTTTCCCATTGTATAGGAATATGTGTTGGCGTCTGCGGGGGTGGCGGTGTATTTAAAAAGTACATGTGCTTGACGTGTTTTAGGCCAGTCTGTTTGAGGAGTGTTCACTGGAAGTACATTCAAAGTGGGTTTGACTGTTTAGAGGGCTGTTGTTCTCTCATTGGGTTGGGGTGCGTTGTTGTTGTGTGTTTTTTTTCCCCCTTTGCCCCCACTCTCCCCCCTTCCCCGCTCCCCCAATGTCACTTTCTCTTTCTTCTTGAGGTTGCTATGCTTTCTGCCTTTGTTTATATTGCAAGCCTATGCTTTTTAATCACATTTCCTCTTCTCATTTAAACAATGGAATTCAATTTAAGTAATTCAGTTAGATTTATTTCCTGGAATGTCAGGGGTCTACAGTCTCGAATTAAAGTTATAAAGGTTTTTAATCATATTAGGTCCCTGAATGCTGATAAAATATTTCTTCAAGAAACCCATCTCTCTAGACTTGATACCAACTCCGTAAACCCTGGATTAGCCAAGTATTTCACTCTAACTATAATAGTAGATCTAGGGGAGTAGCAATATTGATTAATAAAAGAATACACTTTATACCTTCCAATATCACATCTGACCAGTATGGTAGATATATTATTGTAGTGGGCTCACTTTTCCAAACTCAGGTGGTATTAATTAATATATATGCACCAAATTGGGATGATGTTGATTTTATGGATAGGTTGCTGTCCATCATTCCTGATCTAAATTCACACAAATTAATTCTTGGAGATGACATTAATAGTGTTAGGAATCCCACACTAGATCGGTCAAACCTGACATCAACTCTAGCCTCAAAAATGGCATCATCGTTGTTTTTCTTTATTGATGAAAACGGCTGTGTCGATCTTTGGCGTGAACTTTACGCTCATTCAAGATCATCTTCTTTTTATTCTCAAGTACGTTCTTCCTTTTCTCGAATTGACTATTTCTTTGTCAATCGCGAGCTCATGCAGTTTGTCACCCAAGCTGAGTACTTGGCGATAGTTATTTCAGACCATGCACTGCTGCAGATGGATCTTACCCTCAGTCATTAGAGAGATCGCCCTCAGTGGCGTTTTAATCCAACACTACTTTCAGAGGAGAATTTCTGTACTGAATTTTTCAGATTCCATTTGTTTTTTCTTACACTTTAACAAAACTGATTCTGTTTCTTATTCAGTGTTATGGGAGTCCCTCAAATCTGTTATTCGTGGTGAAATTATCTCCTACACCTCTTATATTAAGAACACCAACAAGAAAAAAAACTGGACAAGCTTTCTAGTTCCATACTATCTTTAGATGGTCAGATTTCTTCCTGTCCCACTTCAGAATTGATCAAAAAGCAGCTTGACCTACAAGCTGAATTCAATTTGCTTTCCACAAAATATGCCGAAGCCTTTATTTTATGTTCCCAAGTTTTCTTGAGAACTAGCGCATCAGTTAAGGAGACAGGCTGCGTCTAGACTAATACACCAAATTAGGGACACTCATGGGAATTTATTGACTCATCCTAAAGACATTAACAATGTTTTTAAAAATGACTACTCTTCATTATATACTTCGGATGGCCCGGTTAACACTACTGCTATGCACTTATTTATAGATAAATTAGCACTCCTGGGTTTAGACCCTATAATGGCTGAAGAGTTGGATCACCCGTTTACCTTAAAGGAAATTTCTGAAGCTACTGGATCCTTAAGTAGCGGTAAATCCCCAGGACCAGACGGGTTTTGAATAGAATTCTTTAAGAAATTTGACAACCAACTGTCACCTCTTTTGCTGGAGGTATTTAACTGAGAAGGGGTTCTTTGCCCCCTTCTCTGACACAGGCTACTATCTCACTTACTGTTAAAAAGGATAAAGATCCCACGTTTTGCAGCTCATATCATCCCATCAGTTTGCTTTGCAATGAGCACAAAATCCTGGTTAAGATTCTGGCCAAACGCATTGAGACTGTCCTCCCATCTATTATATCAGAGGACCAAACAGGATTTATCAAAGGTAGGCATTTATTCTCTAACATCCATAGACTTTTAAATATATTATATACGTCTGATAAATTGCAGATTCCAGAAGCTGTTGTTTCGCTAGATGAAGAGAAGGCCTTCGACCATATCGAATGGGACTATTTATTTTTAGTTCTTAATAAATTTGGGTTCAGAAATACATTGATTTCATGGATTAAGTTGCTCTACACTGCACCATTAGCTCGTGTCCATACAAACTCTGTATATTCTGATTATTTTTCTTTACATAGAGGTACATGCCAGGGATGCTCCTTATCGCCTTTACTTTTTGCTATGGCCATAGAACCTCTTTCAGTTGCTCTTAAAACTGCTCCTGGTATACAAGGAGTCACTCGGTATGGAATTGAAAATAGGTTCTCCCTCTATGCAGACGATCTCTTGATATATGTAACTCACCCCTTTCTGACATTCCAGTTATTAATTCCATTTTAGTAGAATTTGGCTCATATTCGGGCTACAAGCTAAACTCCAAAAGCGAGTTTTACCCAATTAATGCTGCTGCTTCTATAATTACACAGACCGAAATCCCCTTTAGGCTTGTGCCCTGATGGATTTAAATATCTAGGCGTTAATATTACCCAAGAAAATATCACTCATTCAGGATGCTAATTTCTCCCCTCTACTTACTAAAATGTGCAGTGACTTCCAGAGGTGGAGTAGCCTTCCCCTCTCTCTAGCAGGTAGGGTGCAGTGCATTAAGATGAATGTCCTTCCTAAATTTTCTCCTCAAATCCTTCTTTGTCTCTATAGATAAGGCTGTCACTGGGTTTATTTGGGGTGGTTGTGTCCCCCGTATCAGGAAGGTAATTCTTCAGTGTTCCCCGTTCTTTTGGCTTGGCCCTCCCTAATTTTATGTATTACTATTTCACAGTCAACATACAAAAAATGGCCTTTTGGTTTAAATACCCAGAGGCTGCATGGTGTATCATGGAATTCCCTTCTCATTTCTCCTCCAATACGTTAGTAGTGTCTACTCTAAAGATCTGGACCCAGTTTCATAGAATGTTTCACTTTACTGAGGTGTCTGTCTTGAGTCCAATATGCAAAAATCATTTATTTAAACCTGCCACCCTGGACTCCATATATATACGTTGGGAGGGCAGGGGTATTACCACCTTTAAGGATTTCTTTGATAACACATTTAGCAGTTTCTCCTCAATAGTTTGCAAATTTAATCTTCCTAGAACAGAGCTTTTCCGATTCTTCCAAGTTCGTCACTGTGCAGAATCCCTTTTTCCCATGTTTCCAGAATGTCCCCCAGCTCTTCCCTGGGAGGACTTTTTTAGGGGTCCAATCACAACATGCCATGTTGGAGACAGTAGAACACAAATAATGGGCAAAGTTGTTAGAGCAGATGTGGAGTTGCAAAAGATGTTGTCTCCCAAATTTTGACACACTGCCCTTGGTGTGGTAAGCAACAGATTTTTAACAAATAAGTCAAAATACCTCAAAAATGGTGAAATATTTTGACATGACTTGTATTTGCACAGTTCATATTTCAGTTTGTATAATTCAGATTTTATGTCACTCCTTCAAGTTTAGAAAAATAGTTTTTTGTGTCTCTTTGAAAAGAAACTGTGAACCAACACCAGGCTAGACTAAAACAGACAGTAAGACGTCCCAGTAAAACTGCATCATATAAAATGATTATCTTACTCAAAAGCCTCTTACAAGCTTCAGATGTCCGTGTCTAAGGAGTTGCTATAAGTGGTATTAAGCCTGGTGGGGCCACTTAGTTGAAATTATTGTAATTGGTTCTGCCACCGACTTTGACTCTCTGCCTGTTCATGCCCATAGCAGTGGTCTGTGTGTTTGGGGAAAGTGGACTTTTTCCTTTGAAAAGTTCAGGGTCAAATTTATTTTTCACCCTTGTTGTTCTGGTGACTGCATACTGCTGATATCTTGAGCTGTTCTGCATTTCACATATAGTAACACAACTCTTGTCTTTTCCTCTTAGGTTTTTCCCACATACACAATATGATACTGGTCCTCTGTATCTTTACTTGTTTGTGTGGATCTGTACTTTTTCTTGGCTCCATCCTATACACTTTTTGTAAAAAGCCCGGTATGTAAAGTCTTCATTTGAACACTTTTATGACAAATTTATGACAGTGGAATTTGTTATTTAATTACAAAACTCTCAAATGCAGCTGTTATTTATCTTTTTAGGCAGTTGCACAGTAATCGTACAGCGTGTTCTCGTCTTTGGTCCAAACATTCTTATGTTTGTGGCCTTCATCCTTTGGGGTGTGCTTAATGGTAAGTATTTTATGGTTGTTTTTATACAACGTACACTAGATTTAATACTGTCACATTAATAAAAATTAATTAACTAGAATTTTGGAGTATTAGGAGAACTAGGAAAAACAGATGTTAATGGTGGTGCCTTATAAGATATGTAGTGATTGCAATATTCTATTCATGGTACATAAATATATCTTAATTAAAAATTAAAATTAAAACATTTTAAATGGTTAATTATTTATTAATTATTTATTATTATTTATTATTATTGTTTTTATTAATTGTAACAGTTAATGGTTTATTGTTCAGAAATTTATCCTGATTTCCATTTTCCATATGTGCTTGAATTATAATGCAAACTCATAAAACAATACACTACAATTTGTAGGAGAAATCAGACTAAACCTGACAATGTGATAATATTGCTGTTTCTAAAGACTATGAAATCACTTACTTTGTTGAGACTTTGCTCTGGAATTGTATCTATCTATCTATCTATCGATTTTATATATATATATATATATATATATATATATATATGTGTGTGTGTGTGTGTGTGTGTGTGTGTGTGTGTATATATATATATATATATATATATATATATATATATAACTTTTTTCTTCAGCTTCACTGGTTGATTATGCAATTGTGACAAAATCAAAAACAACATGGACATATTAACAAAGTGTCCAAACAGTTTTGACCTCTAGATGTTTGTATCTTTTCTTTTACTTGACGTTAAAAAGAAGTGTCATTAAACTCATTTCATGTTTCTTCAGGATTTATCAGTGAGGCTGCCACTTGTTCAGCTGTTAATCTTCTAAGGACTCTTTGGCTACTTGTATTTTGTCCATACTTTAAACGTTTTCATGGTATGTAAATAATGGCTCTCTTACTATTATTGCTATAATTATTTATATTTGCTTTATGTGATACATATTTGTGTTGTGTTGTATCAGTTTATTAAAATGTATTGATTTCAGTGCAGTTTACAATCAGAAGTCAGAACATTCTTTCAGGCAATTCAGATGAGAGATCACAAATATTTTCTGGTCTTATCCTGAGATGGTCCTAAAGTTTGTGACAATCTGGCACTCTCAGAAATAAGGGTACTAAACTGTCACTGGGGTGTCACACCTCTTGTCACTGGGGTGGTACCCTGAGGGGCCTTCAGTACCTTCAGTTAGGGAACATAATTGTATCATATTTTACTGCACAAACATGGTTGCAGGTATAGATTTTGTATTATATAGCGGCACAGTTCTGTATAGGGGAGGAGTTAGACTGAATACATTATGTACAGGTGCGGTTAGACCTGCTGCAGAGATGTCCAATCAGATCAACTCCTCTCACACCATTTAAAAGCTGATTGGTTATCAGTGGTGCAGCACAGTGATATTTTTCTAATGGCAGGATGTTGCTGCCTTTATACGAAATAGATGGAATCCATTTCTTTTTTGAATAAAGGAAATAAAAAGATCATCTTATAGATTTCATTTCAGTGGTTTAGTAGTAAATATAAAGCTGATGTAAATGCTACATTTCTGTTTTCTTGTTGTTCTTTGTGAGGGTTCAGGTGTGAGCTCTCTTTGACAGAATTATATTTTTATATTGGCCATTATTTTTTATATATTTCTAATAAAACATATATATTAAGGTTCCATGCTTTATATTTTACAGGCATAGTCCAATTTTCACTTATCACAGCGGAATGTGTTGCATTGTCTGTAATTGCTGCTGTAGGTAAGTACCCATGATTTTTACATATTAACACAAGATGACATTTATAAATATATACATACATAAACAATTGGCGAAACAAATGAATGTCACTATTCCACGGTCATTAAATATAATTATTCATACATGTAAACATGATTATAGAGAAAAATCACTAATAATGTTTTCAGCTCATTTAGTAGTCTGCTGATCCTCTCCAGTGACAGTGCTGCCAATGTAAACACCTTCCTCTTTGTACTTAAATGCTCGTTCCCTCTTTAGGAAAATCACCACTTCTCTGTAGGAAAGAGGAGAATTTGCAGTTAAAAGGATATTATTATGAACTATGGATATTATGGATATATTATAGTTTGGAATCCAACTGTAAACTATATGCTACATTAATAACCTTTATTATTCACAATAATAACTTAAAGAAATTAGAATTCCATAAAAGTTGTGACACTTGGTAAAGTGGAAATAAAAGCATGAAGCAGTGATCTGAAAATCCTTTTGACCTGTATTCAATTGAAAACAGCACAAAAACATGATATTTAATGTTTCATCTATTTAACCTTAATTTTTGTGTATATATGCTTGTTCTAAATTTGATGCCGACAACACGATCCAGAAAAGTTGGAAGAAGGAGATGTTTACCACTGTGTTACATCACCTTTCCTTTTAACAGTGTTTAGTAATCGTTTGGGAACTGAGGACCCCATTTGTTGTAGTCTTGCTTGATATAACACATCAGCTTCTCAACAGCTGGGGGTCTCTGTGGCTGTATATTGCATTTAATAATGCATCTCATGATTTAATGGGAAACAGGTTTGAACTGCAGGCAGGCCAGTCTAGCACCTGCACTCTCTTACTGTGAAGCCACACTGTTGTAACTCATGCAGAATGTGGTTTGGCATTTCTTTCTGAAACAAGCAGAGACATCCCTGAAAAAGATGGCAGGATATGTTGCTCCAAAATGCATATTTACCCTGCAGAATGAATGTTTACAGGTATGCAAGTTATCCAAGAATGATGCTAACAAGAAGTAATAATTATAAATAATACACTGTAATTATCTATTTACCTTTTTACAGTCAGATCCATAAATATTTGGATGTTGACAAAGTTATTATTATTGTTTCACAGCATATTGGAGTTAAAATTAAATAATGAATTAGAGCTAAAAGTACTTTAATTTGAGGGTATTTACATCCAAATCAGGAGAATGATGTAGGCATTACAACCATTTTCATACATAACCCCTCCCCCTTTTTTCATAAGCAAAAGTTACTGGTTATTTTTAATATTTTAATACTTGGTTGCAAATAATTTGCAGTCAGCAGCTGCCTGAAGTTAGGAACCCATAGACATCACCAGAAGCTGGAGTTCTTCCCTGGTGATGCTCTGCCAGGCCTTCAGTTCCTGCTTGTTATTAGGACGATTTAGCTTCACATTTATACTCAAACCAAATTGCTTATCTGCAGTACGTTCCAAAAAAGTTAAGACTGGAGCATGTTTACCACTGTTCACCTTTCCTTTTAAGAACACTTAAAGGCCCGTATCAGGGAAAAACTGAATTGTCCTCACTTTTTTAAAATAAAATAGTGAAGTGTACAGCCCTGTTTCCAAAAAAATGGGGACGCTGTGGAAAATGTAAATAAAAACAGAATGCAATGATGTGCAAATCATTTAAAACCTATATTTAATGGCAATTAGTACAAAGACAACATATAAAAAAGAAACCATATATAAACAGGATACAGAAACGCTGCCACCTTCTCTGGAACTGAGCTCATTTAAGATGGACTGAGGCGAAGTGGAAAAGTGTCCTGTGGTCCAACAAATCAAACTTTGAGGTTCTTTTTGGAAATCATGGACGCAGAGTCCTCTGGGCTAAAGAGGAGAGGGACCATCCAGCTTATCAGTACACAGTTCAAAAGCCAGCATCAGTGATGGTGTGGGTGTGCATTAGTGCACATCTGTGAAGGCACCATTAATGCTGAACAATATATTCAGGTTTTGGAGCAACACATGCTGCCATCCAGCAAGACAATGTCAAACCACATTCTGCATGTATTATAGCATCATTGCTGCGTATTAAAAAAGTCTGGGTGCTAAACTGGCCTGCCTGCAGTCCAGACCTGTCACCACTGATGACATTTGGCACATTATGAAATACATAGTACAACAAAGGAGACCCCGAACTGTCAACTGAAAAATATCACTTTCAAAACTACAGCAGTGTCTCCTCAGTTCCCAAACACTTACTGAGTGCTGTTAAAAGAAGAGGTGATGAAACACAGTGGTAAACATGCTTCCCGTCCCAACCTTTTTGAAATGTGTTGCTGGCATCAAATGCAAAATAAATAAAAAAAAAGAAAGATAAAATTTCTCAGTTTCAACATTTGATATGTTGTTTTTGTACTTTTTTCAATTAAATAAGGTTTAAATGATTTGCACATCGTTGCATTCTATTTTTATTTACATTTTGCGCAGCGTCCCAACTTTTTGGAAACAGGGTTGTAGAATGTAAATACTGTAAAGTTTAAGATACGGTTAAAATTTGTTCTTTCTTCAGTCGGTGCAAACCTAATAAGGACATTAAGCTGTAAAAACAGTCAGTTTGGAATTGATTGTTTTCTGTTGTCACGAAAGTCTAGACATTTACATATATTTGTCTTTTCAGCCAACAGCAGTTTAGCCCCACCCATTCACACTGAAGTTATAAGAAGTGTTTTAGTCTGGACTGATTTTTAAATAAAGCACAATACAAGAAAGCCTGTTTAATAGAAAATGGTCATGTAAAAATAAATTATAACTGTTTTAGGTAAATAAACCCACCCATAAGTGTCATAAGAGGACCTCCAGGAAAAGGAAAATGCTCGAGTTTTGAAGTGCTGTCTAGAGGTCAAAGGTCACAGGCATTCAGTTGTGGTTTTTAGCCTTGCCCTTCATGCACAAAGATTTCTCCAGCTTCCCTGAATCTTTTAATAATATTCTGCACCATGGAGGGTGATATACCTAAAACCAGTGATATGTTTTTGACAAAGTGATGAGTCTCGACCCACCCTTGCTCATAAAAGACTAGTTTTCCGGGATAGTTCTTTTATATCCATGCATGACACTGTCATTTGATATTTTACAACCTACGTTGTAGTGTGAGTGTGAGAATCAGTGACCAGGGTTGGGTAGTAAGAGAATACTTGTATCAGTGTTATGTAGTGAGGATATAAAAGAGTAAATCCATTATATTTACAGAAAAAGACAGCAATCAGATTACAAGTACACTATGAAATAAAATGATTACCCATAGAATTATCTTAAAACTACTCTTAGTTATTTTAATGCTTGATAAAATTGTCTGCTAAAGGAGCTTTTTGCCACAACACAAAGGGATGAAGGAGACGGCATGCAGTGCCTCTGCTGAATGGTGACGGTGTGCAGTGGCTCTACTGAATGTTGACAGTGTGCAGTGGCTCTGCTGAATAGAGACAGTGTGCTGTGGCTCTGCTGAATGGAGACAGTGTGCAGTGTCTCTGCTGAACGGTGACAGTGTGCTGTGGTTCTACTGAATGGAGACAGTGTGCAGTGTCTCTGCTGAATGGAGACAGTGTGTTCTGACTCTGTTGAATGGAGACAGTGTGTTCTGACTCTGTTGAATGGAGACAGTGTGTTGTGGCTCTGCTGAATGGAGACAGTGTGTTGTGACTCTGCTGAATGGAGACAGTGTGTTGTGGCTCTGCTGAATGGAGACAGTGTGCTGTGGCTCTGCTGAATGGAGACAGTGTGCTGTGGCTCTGCTGAATGGAGACAGTGTGCTGTGGCTCTGCTGAATGGAGACAGTGTGCTGTGGCTCTGCTGAATGGAGACAGTGTGCTGTGGCTCTGCTGAATGGAGACAGTGAGCTGTGGCTCTGCTGAATGGAGACAGTGTGCTGTGGCTCTGCTGAATGGAGACAGTGTGCTGTGGCTCTGCTGAATGGAGACAGTGTGCTGTGGCTCTGCTGAATGGAGACAGTGAGCTGTGGCTCTGCTGAATGGAGACAGTGAGCAGTGTCTCTGCTGAATAGAGACAGTGTGTTCTGACTCTGTTGAATGGAGACAGTGTGTTGTGGCTCTGCTGAATGGAGACAGTGTGTTGTGGCTCTGCTGAATGGAGACAGTGTGTTCTGACTCTGTTGAATGGAGACAGTGTGTTGTGGCTCTGCTGAATGGAGACAGTGTGCAGTGTCTCTGCTGAACGGTGACAGTGTGCAGTGGTTCTACTGAATGGAGACAGTGTGTTGTGGCTCTGCTGAATGGAGACAGTGTATTTTGACTCTGCTGAATGGAGGCAGTGAGCTGTGAATCTGCTGAATGGAGACAGTGTGTTGTGAATCTACTGAATGGAGACAGTGAGTTGTGACTCTGCTGAATGGAGACAGTGTGTTGTGGCTCTGCTGAATGGAGGCAGTGAGCTGTGAATCTGCTGAATGGAGACAGTGTGTTGTGAATCTACTGAATGGACACAGTGAGTTGTGACTCTGCTGAATGGAGACAGTGTATTGTGACTCTGCTGAATGGAGGCAGTGAGCTGTGAATCTGCTGAATGGAGACAGTGTGTTGTGAATCTACTGAATGGAGACAGTGTGTTGTGAATCTACTGAATGGAGACAGTGTGTTGTGAATCTGCTGAATGGAGACAGTGTGTTGTGGCTCTGCTGAATGGAGCCAGTGAGCTGTGGCTCTGCTGTATAGTGAGAGTGTTTAACAGCAGTAATAGTATGTAATCAGGTTTCGTCACTGTAACGTAGTAATTCTTTGGGTTAGGTTAGAAATGACAGGTAATCAGTAATTTGTATTAAAGTACGTTTTTCAAGTAACCCTCTGAACCCAATTACCTTTGTAACTGAATGTGTGAATCCAGTAACAGTCAGTGAGAGAGCTTAAATATCAAGGGTAAATGCCCAAATGTCTTTTTAAGTTTGGTGCCTCAATAAAGAAATTCATGTGTATTACTGCAGAAACACAAATTTTAGGTTTGTTTGTATCCTGTGGTAACAGCCACATTTGATGCTTTTTTGATGCATTCGGTGTTTTTTTGAAAACCTATTGTCAGGTATGTCTGTGATGATAACCAGATTACCACAAACAGCATTTATGT